GTAAAGGATCTTTACAGTGTAATTACACACCCCATCTCACCTCTGCCTCCATTCCACAATATCTTCCTTCTCTGAGTCAGAAGCTGTAAAGAGAGGGACACAGCACCACATTTGCTGGTTGAGTCTATCACAGCAGTTCTTATTTTGATCTCTTTTACCTGTTAAATAACCTGTCTTGAAGTGTCACTGTATACATCAGTCTGAGGAACCTGTGGTCCTTCAGGTGTGGATGAGCTCTTACTGAAATCATTCCCATCCATTGGCAAGCCTAGCTGGGGCATATGGATACTAGAGTCCAACAACACCCACATAACTATCCAGAAGTAACTCACATAGAGCTCAGTGGGGTTTCTCTTAGGCAAGTGGACACACAAGGACATCCTGCCTACTGTCTATGAACAGAGATATCAGTGGACTTCAAGGATGACTCCAACAGCCAGTGAGGGGTAACTATTCAAATAGTTCATCCTCCCCATTTTGTCCCTTCTCTTTCAACCACAGCAAAATCCTTGTGTACCTAAAATGTGGTTTGCCACTCCTTCACTTCCTCAAACCAGTTTTTCCAAAGTTGCTTCAATGAGCTTTCTGGAGAGAATTGATACATGTGAAAGATCAGATGTAAGTCTACTCTTTCTAGACTAGGTCAATGAAAGTAATGGGGCTACTGCAGAGTAACCATTGCTTTAAATGCAGAAATGGTCTCAAATGGGTTGGCAAATATTGGCACCCGCCAAATTGGTGGTTCTAAAATGGGTGTCTAATTTAAGGCTGGACTGAAAACCTGATTTTCCATCTTAAAAAGACTTTCCATTCTAAAATTTCCCTTGAACGGTCGCAGTTCATAGAAAATGCCATCTTACTATAAATCTTACATACCGCAGGAAAAAACCACCTTCTTTATAGTATGGCATGCTCAAATGGAAATGAGTTTTGTGAAGCCGCTGTCACATTTGGCACAAGGGTTTGTGGTCTCTGTTGGAAGGCCAGTGCCAGGATCTGCTCCTGGTTTCTGAGGTTTGGTGTGACTCAGAAGGTAAAGGAGCAACAAAAACACCCTCTCTCTGTCTCCTTTCCTTTGTCCCCACCTTCTCCCGGTCTGGTCTGGGAAGTGTTTGAAAAGTTGATCATCCTCATTGGGTTGAAGCAATATAAAACTTCTTGTTCCTCCAAGGATTTGTGACAGCACTTTTCGATGGATTTTGCTTTTGTTCTTTTCCCCTGTCCTAATTTTTTTCGCACAAGCTTAAGCTCATCTAAAACCATTACTTGTCCGGGATTTCTTTTCCACTGTTTTGCTCCTTATGCACTGCAGGGGGATTTCCTTCAGGAAGTTAACGTCTTTTGAAGGTTCCTGGAATGTGTTGGATCCAAACCTTTCCTAAGATTTTCCATAACTCAGTCATGATCTTGCCATGGTGCTGTAGTTTAAAGTCATTTCCTCACCCTATGGCAAAGTTACCTGGTTTACTGTGTACTGTGAGACTGAAGGAAAGTCCCAACTATCTTTATAGTGATTTTGGGGAATTTTATTGCTAAGATGTGGTTGATGAGCACTGGAACCTAATAATTTCAGTGCGCTGGGTCTTGTGAAGAATACTGTGCCCCTGAACATGTTTGCTTCACACTGTATATGCTCTGTTGACCTCTGCACATCTCCAATTAGGAAGAAGGATCTCCAGCTCAGATGCTGTGGCTTTAGTGAGACTAGAGACCTGGCAGCTATCCTTGTAAAATTAACATCTGGCATCATTGCCAGAGCTAGCAGTAAATATTCCCCACTGATATTTCCAAGAAGCATCAGCAAGTAGATGGCCTACTACTGAAAAGAAAGCAGAGAATGATCTATCATTTACTCATTTTCTGTGGTTCTTCCCTAGGGAATTCATAATGTGTGGCACCTTTCACAGGAAGTATTTCCCACTAGTTGTGCAGGGAACACATTTAATCTTCATATTTTATCGCAGCTGCCAGAAACATAATTCCCTAAGCTCTTCTTCCATTTATGTCATGAGTAAACCTTGTGGCAGACAGTGGGCAGAGTCAACCCATGAAGAATGTCACAAGTCTCCACAGCAGTGAATTTTAGAGAGGTGGCTTTCTCAATCACTTAAAACAACTCAGCAGAGGTATGAAAGCCAAACTGGTTTAGACTGTGAATTTTTGCATACTTGGGAATCTGTGCAACAGCACACAAGGGGACCTACTTCTGAGTAGACCTGAATAAGCTTGCCCTGTTTTCTTGGCAGAAGCTTGGGTATGTTTTGTGTGAAAGTTAACCCTCTAATCTGGTATCCTGTGTTGAGCATGGGTTTGGACCCAATGACCCTTGCTGGTCCCATCCAATTCTACTATTCTGTGCTTCTAGACTAAAGGCCACTCCAACAGTATCATTAGTGATAAGGTACCCATACCAAAATTTGTTTTTATAAAGGTTAAAAAATAATGAGTAATTAGCAGTCTTTAAAATTAGCAGCAGCAGAGGCCCTTCTCCCTGGCTTATCATCAAAGGTTGCCAGATTCATGATTTCAAGAGTGAGGGCCTTTTCAGTCATGGCCCCATGCCTCTGGAATTAGCTTCCATAGGAGTTCATCCAGCTCCTCCTTTGCAGGTCATCAGAAAAGTTCTGAAGGTTTCCACCCCACCTTTTTATTTTTTTATTTTTTGGCTAACCTTTTTATAATCTGTGGGCTGCAGATTTTATTGGAATCATCTGCTTTACTGATATAAGCTGTTTAAATAGTATGTTATAAAGCATTTATTTATTGCTTTCCTATTAGTTTTGTATGGGCCATATGTATTGCTTTTATATGACTGTGATAGTATTCTTTGTTTCAGGATGTCCTAATACCCATGACACTATTATTATTTACATTTATTCCTTCTCCCCCATTTCTTTGTTTTGGGATCGAAGCATATCAGAATAGGATGAATACTTCCACCTCGAACCCTTTGTTGCTGGCTGCATTCATTATTTTCAGTAGGGACTGAATCCCAAATTGAGGACAAAATTGAGCTACTTCAGAAAGATTAGTGAGATTTCTGAAATGAAACTCCCCTAAAGCTGCACACATAATTTGGTGTTTTGGAGGGCACTGCATCACAGATGGTGCATCCTTTTCTCCCCAAGCTACCCATATAAGGAGAACTCCAGAGTGACAGGATGGGCAAGGTGCTGAAGGGGCAGTAGTTTCGCCCCTGATTGCTCCAGCTTTTAACCATAGTAAGTAGTTGTATTAGGGTGCTGTGTGGCGGGGAATGAGTTAATCCTCTCCACAGTGCTGAAGCCCTTCTGAAAATTTGCACTGGGGCTGCTGCAACAAGGCATGGAAGTGTGGGAAGCTGCCTTGCCTGAATGAGTGTTCGTCTATCCAGTCCAGGTTTATCAGCATTGACTGCCAGCAAAGGATTTCCAGCTTTCAGGTGGAAGTTTTTTGTAGCCATAACTGGGAAACCTGGAAGTGAACCTGGAAACTTTAGTGTGAGGAGCAGGTTCTCTGCCACTTAGCTATGGACCCTCTGCCACTCACTCTTAGATCACAAGTGTGTGCGGGAGGGGACTTGGGGTGGACCCCACTGGGGAAGAAGGGGATTGCTCTCCCTCTGCCCAACACTGTGACCCCATATTGAAAAACACCCCCATGGCACCAGCAGAAGCCTTTGAAAAGCCTGACTGAAGTGGGCAAAGAGTGGTGTGTGAGTGTGATTGCAACTGTGTGTGAGAGAAATGTATGATTACGAGCATGGGTGTGTAGAAATATATGTATGAGTGTGTGTGTTTGTGAATGTATATGTAAGTGAATCCACCTCAAGCCTTTTTGTGTTGGCTATATCCATCTATTTTCAGATTTGGCTGAATCCCAGATCAAGGACTAGATTGAGCTAATTCAGATAGATTCAGAAAGGGGAGCGAGCAATCACACTGGGGCTGCATGCCAGGAAAGGACTGTCCTCCCACCCTGTGCGTGGGCCTGCCCACTGCGGGCAAGAAGCCCCCAGCCACCTTTTCTGTCCCTGACTAGATTGTCTCTTTGTACCCTTAGTATAGCAGTGGTGGAAGTGATGGGGGCGGGGGGGGGGGGGGGGGAGAGAAACTACACAGCAAAAATTCCATGCAGCATTTAGACAAGCCCTCTAAAGAAGACATTACTCAGAAAATGCTTCTGGTGCCATGAGTATGATCTAATAAAGCTTTAGAATGCAAACAAGAGATTGGATTAAGATGGACTTTCCATTCCTAGCTGAAGCTGTCTAAAAGAAATGAATGAAGGTGTTTACAAAATACTTTTAGGTTTCTTGCACAGTTATACAGTCAGTGGAAGTAAACAGTCATTCATTTCCTGTGATACAACAAGGACAATCTATGGTGCCCCATGCTGTCCTAATTCTGCATCTGAAGATCATATGTGTAATGTACAGATGGAAATATATCCTCAAGGTAAAAAAAGAAAGTGGAAATTGGCTAAAGATCAAAGTTTACTTGCATTCCATACTTTCCCCACTTTTTATTATCCTTTCCAACTTTAGTCTTTTGTAGAAGATTTCTCTCTCCTGCCTTCCCATAAGGGAAAGCTGAGATTAGAGTACAGAATTAAGTTTTGTCTTTTTAATCTGTATGTAAATGGGAAACAGTAAAAGAGCTACAGTATAGTTAAACCAGCAAACCTGGAAAGCCAAAGGTTCTAGTCACTGAGGCCCTGGAGATCAAGGCTAACAAAGATGGTGAACAGAACATTGGCCATGGCGAATTATCAGAGCCTCAATTCTGTGAGATTACATATATTCATCTGTAGGCACATCTGCAGGCACATCTGCAGTGATGGGATCTTTTCAAGAGCAAACAGAGCTTCAGTGGTAGTGTGGTAACCCTTAAGGACCATGGCAAAGTTCTTCAAGGGCCACAGGGTATCATGGCAACCTTCTAATGTACCTTAAGATACAGCATGTACTTCCTGTGTTCTCATTCTGACATAATGATCTGCATATTTTATTGGCACGCCAGGTTTTGGTCACCTCATCAAACAGTTGCTGACACTAGCGGATGGGCGCATGGTGCTGGCCCTGGAGGGAGGACATGACCTTACTGCCATCTGCGATGCATCAGAAGCCTGCCTAAATGCTCTGCTAGGAAATGAGGTAAAACCACGTCAAAAAGCTTGGAAGGCAATGTTTTGCCATGCCACGTGCATTCGTTGTTCATAACATGCAGAAATTGGAGGCCCAATCTAGTCCTCCTGAGGTTTCGAACAGCCCTTTGCCCATGCTCCCTTCCCCAGGCCACCTCCTTTCTCAAAACTACTCAACGTTCAATTATTTTCTAGCTGGGAAAATCCACTGGAGCCTCACTCTAGGCATCACGTAGTATCATTCCAGGCCACTTCTGAGGAGCAAATGGCAGCATATAGTTACTAGGAGCGATGCTGCTTTCCTGGTAGCTTCTCAATCCTCCCAAAATGTAGCCCTCTTGATCCCACATCTCTGAATTGACCCGCAAACCATTTGCATCAGCCTCCAATAGACCAAGGCAATGGGGTAAGAAGCACAAATGTGAAGCAGGTCTTCTGACAGCAGAGGTCACAACTCCATAGAGAAGGGTGTCTTTGAAGTCACCCCATCACCAGGATCCTCTAGACAAGATCTAGACTGAGGCCTGGCCTTGAAATGGTTAATGTTATAAATTTTTATGGTGATAAGCTGACTCACTGTAGCCAGTTTGACTTCTTCTTGGTTTAAATTGCCTTCATTCCAGCTGCTCACTTGTTATTTTTAAAATTATTTAAAATATTTTTTAAATTATTATTGATGGTTTTATTGTTTGTCTGTTTAAACTGTGTGTTCAGAAAAAGAAAAAAATAATGGTCCCCTTTATCCTAATTTGAAGATACACTTCTACAGGTGATTGATAGGGTAATCAGTTCTTACTTTCTGGCAGTTCTCTTTCACAAATAGTGCTAACATAGCCGGCATTTAAAAAACATTGGCAAGGCCAACATTGGCTTCTCATTGTGGCCCCTGCAATTGAACTGAAATTAGGAAGGTCAGGAAAGGCCTCGGTGAGGCACTCTGCAGTTTGTCAGATGTATTTATTCATGTGCTGAGGATTAGAATTCATAAACATGAATGCACAGGCTATGGAATACTCCTGCTTTGCCTTTGTTGTTCTTGGCTGGAACCTGTCAATGCAGCAAGACGCTGCTCTGTCCATGCTACTATCAGCACGCACACCACACAAATCTACAAAACAAGCAACTGAAAAATGAGTAGCGCTTTCCAGCATTCGTGGCCAGCCAGTCAGACACCAAGATGGAAAAGCACCAGCTGAGCAGTGGGAAGAGCTTGTTCCCATTAATTTGTCTCAGGATTCCTCGAAGGAAAATATCTGGACAGCCAACATGGAAGAAACAAATGCACACCGAAAAAGAAAGAATTAGATTCAGCATGCATCACCTGCGTGAAGGTGATGAGTTTAGCAAGATACATTTGTTACATTTACAACATGTTATTAATTCTATGCATGCTTAAGGAGATCTGCAAATATTAAAAATGCAAGTATGGTTATGAAGACAATGATAAAATAAAAAATAAAAATTATTCAGTTATAAGTATTATAGCCAAACACAGAGAAATGCTTGTAAAAACAGCCCACTTCCAAAGATATTTTCTTTAACCTTGGATTAAGTCATATTGATCTCAGTGGATCTTACTTCTGAGTAGACATTGGTTGTGCTCTCACCTTGTGGTAGAGGGCCAACAGTGAGGAAACAAGGTGGACTTTCCCAGAAAAGAGATTACAAAACCAAGGTGTAGAGTCACAAAGAACTGTTCCGTGGTCCCAACTACTTTTGATGTTGGTGGGACATACAAGAGGCCCTCCAATGGTCCTCTTAGCGGTGAGTGAACATTTATTTCATTTTGGCTTTGTAAGCATTTCTCAAAATTTGTGAAGTTCTGTTTCAGGACAAAAAGAACTTCAGATTTTTTAATGAATATGGGAGAAATTGAAACTGACACTTTAGTCCATTCAGGACCAGAACTTTTGCATGCATAGTGCTTCAAAATCTAGATTTCTGTCCCTGTATTTTAGGGTTACCACATCTTTTTTTCTGGCAGGTTCTTGTCTCAGTTACGTGGCTGGAAAGTAAAACATAGTGTTTTCCATTTTGGAGATAGCTCTGCCTACTGAATTTGGCTGGTGCAAATAAATAATAATTTTGTTTAAGTTCATTTCTTATTGGAATTTGCAAAGTTCTTCCTATTGGGAAAGAATGGATTTAAGATTTAAAACATTTGAATGTGAGAAGTGAAATTAACATATTCACCCATCCTTACATGATCTTAATAAGTGAATGGATCAAATGGAACAAATCATGGCAAAGTAAGTATAAATCAAGTAGTCTGTCCACTTAGCTCTCTCTATAAAAAAATCAGTAACAGGAAATCCTTTAATACAAATACTGACAAATCACAATTAAACAAAAACATGTCTGTTTTGTTAAGCTGCAAATCAATATTTCAATTATTCTTCTGTGTTCAAATTTTTCTCCAAGCAAAAGCAAAATTTTCTGCTGGCTTACTATGGGTGAACATTGCCATGTTAGTACTACCCAGTCCTCCTTCCCTGCCACAGTAGCATTGCAGAAGACTTTATGTTGCACTCTCAGTTTACTTGTGGAGTCAGTCATGCTATAAAAGCAGCAAAAGAGCTGAGACTCATGTGTTGTTCTGGCATGATAGATGCCCCTTTAATTTTGCTGCCACAAGCAACTTAATGCATGGTCAAAACCAACCCTGTTTCCCTTGAATATTATGCCTCAGTTCTAAATACATTTGACTTGGAAGTGAGTCCCATTAATTTCAGTGTATTTGATTTCCAAGAATGTATGCTTTGGATCACAGCCCAAATGTGGAAATTACACAGAAACCTAACTTGGATCCAAATCACACTTACTTGCATTCCAGTGAAACCAATGGGACCTACTTCTAAGTTTAAACTTATTTTTTAAGTTTCAGAATAACAGTGAGAATCAGTGACCTTCCTCCCAAAGGGAGCCATCACAATTTACCATCACTGTTTATAAAGATAAAGATGTGGAAATTGAGTGAGGCTATGTGGGTACACAAAGCAAAGTTCCTGGAGCTGTATTGAGCCATTCAAGATGAACACACAGTGACTGGGTGGGAGATATTACCATATCTATTGGTTCTACTCCCAGCCTTAACATATTGAGCAAGAAAGTTTGAAAGGAAATTCTTCCTGTTTTCAGCTCGCCACACACAAAATCCTCCCTGCAACCTGATGTCCCTCACAATCAGGGTGTCCCATCACTGAAGGGACTCAAAGCACATTTGGGCACAAAAGAGACATTATTTTGAGGGCTTTTCTAAGATTTATTGTGCCCTTGCTGTACCTTACTAATGGTTACTTATGGGTTCTTTCGACATCTCCCTTCCATTTTGTTTCTGTGTCTAACCTGCACTTTTGAACTTTTTTAAGCAAAGAAAATGTAGTATTCAATTGTAAAAGTCAAACAGCTGATTTTCTCCATCAGTGTGTTTGTACTATGCCATTATATTTCAGTGCCACCTAGAGGTTATGTAGTAAAAGAGCAGGAAAGGCAATATTCCTTATGTAGTGCTTGAATTTCAAATCTGCAATGAAACTAAAAATAGATTCCGTGGATTAACATCCAATTAACAGCCTTGGAACCTTCTATCTACCACAGGGATAAGTGAGAATTTCATTTCAGTTTGTTTTTGATGATTTATCAACATTCACCATGTTCTCTGTATTCAGGATAAAAAGAATATGGTATTTAAAACAATATATAAAGAAAATGTAGGAGAAAACAAAACCAACAGATTCATTCATCTGGGTCCACCACTTGAGTGGTTAGCTCTTTAAAGTCTAGGTTTGAAACCCTGTATATTCAGCCATGTTAGTGCTGAATTAGGGTTGCCATATCTTTTTTTCTGGGAGGCTTCTAATCTCAGGCAACACAACCCTCTTCTTGCAAGGGATAGTTGTACTGAGGTTTGATGGTACAGTTTGGTGAGAAAGTTTGTTTCCATGTGATTTTGTTTAACATTTACCAAAATTATCAACAGATAACTTCTGGAAAAAAAGGGTGTGAATATTTAAAAATATCTGAACATGGAAGAAAGCAAATCAGACAATTTGCCCATGCCTAGGATATCAGCTACATCCTTTAAAAAATCTCTAGAATGTAGATCTTAAAATCCCCATGCCACTCTGCGATTGTCCTGATCCACACTTGAGGAGACCCTGACCCAATTCAAGAAGGAAAATGAAGAGTGGCAAGACGTAGTCGCTAGGCAGAACTAAAAGCAGTATCAGCTTTGGCTTCTGTCAAATACAGAAGCAATCAGAACGGGGTTGCTTGTGACAGAGGTTGGCATATGCTGCCCCACTTCATGGGTTCAGATACATAATAGTGCTTATGTAGCTTTTTATTTTATTTGAAAGGAAACACTGTTCAGAAGTTTCCTTTCCACTTCCCACCACAGGTAGCATCTTAGAATAAAATCCTCTTGAGAGGTGTAAAAAGCTTAAGCAGTTGGGTTCCTCCTGAAATCTGAAATAAAAATACAGAAATCTTAATTCAGGTATTGGGGGTGGGAAGGTTCAACTGCTGCCAAATATCCCTGAAGTGTTAGGTTAGTGATTTTAGAGCACATCCATTATGCACCTGTCAAAACAAAAGGAACTATAGTTTCAGCTAATTAGAAAGAAACAACTTTGAAATAGACAAGTTGTTCAGAGTCCCATACTGTTTTAGGCTGTAATTTGAGAAATCTAATTTCGTACAATGGTGATTTTTCTTTATAGCACCTAAACTGACCCTCTATATCTGTTTATCATATCTTGAACTGTACTGTTACGTAGTTGTTGTTCAAAAGAAATGCAGAAGTCTGCAAGAGAGTTCTCATCAGGGCAAAGTGTAATCAAACTCTGGAAGACAGGACTGACTCTGAATGCTCTCCCTAAAGTTTAAGTCAGAGACCGGACGGACATCCTCTGTCCAAATTTACTATGTGCTGTTGAATAAAATCAGATGGTTCAATATCTAACTTTATATTTCCTTCAAATAAGCAAATCCTATCAAAACAATTGAGCCTTGTTCTAACAAAAGCTGCATTTTAAAATGTCCCTCTTCCATGAGTTAGCTACTTCCTTTGAAAGTTATTTTAAATGATTGTTGTTGCTACATTTTAAATTCTTTTTGGGTGTGATCCTGAGGCTTCAGAACATCATCTGTGAGACCAAAGGATTCAATGGAGTCCTAGCTACAAGCTCCCAAGATCTCAGAGCTGGGACTCCGAAAGATGAGCCCCTACCCTGCTGCCTCACAGCCATGCCAGCTGTCCCTTCACAGTGGGAGAAAAGGGTTCGTGCCAGGGGACGGGGAGAGGAGGCAGCTGTGGCTATGCGTGTCTGCTGATTCTCATCAGCATCCCAAAGTTCTTACCTCCATTCCAAGGCATTAGATCTAGATAGTCCTGTTCACCTGACTAGAGGAAATACCTAGATACTGCTGCTACTCAGCCTTGCATAGGGCATAGGACAAATGTAAGCTTCCAAGTTTAGAGGCTTACATGCCTCTGCCACAGGGACATGAGGATTGTGCCCTGATCTTTGATCAGTGGTTACGTATTGTGTATGTTGCCCTGAGAGAGTTTCAGTTAGGAGGTGGCACATAATTTGAAATAATAAATAAGAACAACAACAACAACAACAACAACAACAACAACAACTTGCATTTAGAATAGGACATAGTAATGAAATAACACAACCAATGCAGGTGTGATTACTCAGATCTCAAGTAAGGAAAGGTACCTCTTGGGGCACTGGGGAGCTAGTGACAGAAGGATGCCATTGGCACTAGTTGGCTAGGTGGACCAGTGGCTGATTGGCTGTGCCACATCCCTTTTCTTTATCTTACCTCCATCCTCCGTCCCCCATCTTGTCGAAGAATTTTAGGCTGGGTGACCTGGCAGCTCACATCTGCTGGTGAGGCACGGCAGAGCCTTGGCAACCTTTACTTGGCATTCTTGGAGATGCCATTTCCTTGAAAATCCTTTTCTTGTGCAGATTCAACTGGAAGCAAGCACAGGAGAGCATCCAGGGAGGCCAAATGGGCTAGCTTCAACACTGAAAAATATTCATTGGTGTATCTTTTCAGTCCTACCCATCAAATGGCTTTGTTGCTTCTGGGCTGACCTAATCAGTTGTTTATGCAAAATTCTTTTACAAAGATGTATTTCCAGCTCTTTTGCAGGGGTTTTTGGGCTCTTTGACTCCAGAGCTTATAGATGCCAAGAAGTGTGGGAGTGAAGGTGACGCTGCTATGCCTGTCAGCTGTCAACTGATTCCTTTTGTTTGCTGCTGGGTCTCATGATATTTTCCAGGGACACCCTCTTGTCTATTTGGTTTAATGATTTAAAAAATGGATTACTGCCATCAGAAACTTTTCTCTATGATGCAGACGGACTCTCTCTCTCTCCCTCATCTCCAGAAGGACAGAGCCCATTACAATTCGCTGGCTTTTATTTTTCAGTGATGTTTTCATAACAATGGTGCATCTGGGTCAAATCAGGTGAAAGTGCATTGATCCTACCTGTGGAGCCTGATGAGGTTTTCCTGACATGGAGCAGAACCTTGACAGGAGAACAGAGGCCATCTGTGAGGTTCTGCAATTATTATTAGCCCTTTTATTAGAAGAAACCTTAAATCGAATGGTGCTACTCCTCCTCAAGATCATACAGTCCAGAGATCCCCAACCTTAGGTCCTCAGAAGTTGCTGGACTACAACTTCCATCATCCCTGACTTCTATCTATGCTGAATGGGAATGTTGAAAGTTGTGGGTCAACAGCATCTGGATTCCAGTGTTGGGAAACCATTGGTTTTATTCACACTCTGACACCACAGTGAGATCCTTTTTGCTTCTACCTCTTAGGGCCCCCTTTTGTGAACACACAAAATTTGGATTATCATGGCAAGGAATGAAGTAGAAAAGAGCAATGTGCCAGTTGTGCCAGTGATTCCTTCACTGTGACGTTTCCTGCCAGACTAAGCTATGAAGGACTCATTCACTCATGATATCAATCCCTCAGTGACTGCAATCTGCAGTGGTGATTTGCATGCATGAACAGCCATTGCGGATCCAGCACCAAAGATACAATCTCTCACCCCATCAGAGAAGCAATGACTGCAGTCCAACTTGGGTGCACACACAGCAGCCAAAGGGTATATATGGTGCCCACCCTCAATAATACCACCATGACACCATTCGGGTTTTGGCAGGAGTGGGGAACAGGAGGAACTGATTGTGCATCTTACAGACTGACCTGATTCTTTGGAAATGATCATAATGACCCATTTGTACACAGGCCATGCGGTAACCCACATGTTCCAGTATGGTGATATGCATCTGTGCTTATACCATCAAGAGGCCTGCTCAGGTTCATAAGGATTCTGCAGGTTCAAAGTGGCTTGACCAATTTTCTTTATTTAACGAATGAGGATTGCTCTATGCCAGAAAGATGCATTTTCAGATGGGCAAAGATCTCCAAACAACATTGAATGAGGCTCATCTCAAGATAACACAGGCCTTGCAAGATAATATATAGAAATGGAAGAAACCTCTGTGGACAAATGTCTGAATATGCATGGTCAATTTACTTGCATTTACATTATTATGCTTGTGCAATAGTATGTTTACTTGCAGAATTTTTAAAATAAATTTTATGAAATGGAGTGGGTTGGATTTAGGACCTACCTTCCTCAAGGGGAGGGTTCACCTTGTGGAAGGTAGATCCAATTTTGAGGACCTCCCTATGCCACCTTATACCTCATGCCATTCAGCAGGGTGCTCTGTCCGTCTGTGTAGCATTTTCCGGGGGCTACCGTGGGAAGGAGGTGGCAGCAAAGTCCATTTCTATCGGCACAGTTGATCCAGCATAAATCTGGATCTAACCCAGGATTCAGTGTGTGTAAACTTCATTTCTGAGTTTTCATTCCATGAATTATGGTGACATTGAAGGAGGGCTGGGGGAAATAAGAACAATGGCCTGCCCATTCCAGTTCTAAGGTAACTTCAGCAACATTTTGGTTTGGCATACAGCTGCACAGAGACACACAATGGAATTTGATTTGTGAGGAGCCTACAGAAATTACCCAAATAACTAGCATTTTTAAATGACTAATACACAGACCTGCACCTGCTCAAGAGACTCCATAGATTAGTTTTGCAGTCACTGGAAAGGCCCCTTGGAATTCAATTACATGGCTGAAAAACAGAAAGCAAAACTGTGTCCTTCTATCCATTCAGTGGGAGGAATCCCCCCAACAAGTTAGCTACTTCTCTGCACAGATTTTTCATGAGGATTAAGCATTTTCAGTGTGCTTTGCTTCCCTCATATTCATACTTTTTGTACTTGATTTGTTCTATTCTTGCAGCTGGAGCCTCTCTCCAAAGATATCCTCCATCAAACCCCTAATGCAAATGCAACACTTTCTTTGCAAAAGACTACCGAAATCCACAGTAAGTTTAGGGTTGATTTGAACATTAATGTTTCCGAATTAGATTTTGTTTACTGAATGGCTGGAGAAGATGCATAAGCCTGCAATAATGTGCGAACAATCCTGCTTCTCTGAATAGGCTAAGTGATATTCATATGTTAATGACATAATTGTCCCCATTCCTCGGAGTGCTCAGGGGATTCCAGGCTTACTCTGTCCCTTGGTAGCCCCTCTTCTCATGGGTGGACAATTTACTTATGGGACAGCTGTCTGTACCTAAACGTGTGCATAGAGGATGATTGAGTTGTTTGTAAGAACAGGTAATATTGCTGGAAATGTTGATATGGGTTTGTACAATGTAGTACAAGGGGTGGGCAACTGGTGTCTCTCCAGATGTTTTGGCCAACAGCATTTATGACCCCCCCCCATTGGCTGTGCTGGTTAAGATTGATGGGAATTGTAGTCCAGTTGGAGCATCCGAAGCATTGTAAGCTGCCCACCCCAGTGGAGAATACATGGATGATCAAATATAAGAAATTATGTATTAATTTGCCTTTGTACATGAGAAGCACTGATGCATTTTTTTCATTATATGATCAGGTGGACTTTTCTTCAGTGTAGCTGTAGTGTAGCTGTTAGCAAGTCTCTCAGAATAAATATTTAGAAATATTTAACTCTGATTCTTCAAGGAAAATGTCTCTTTCCCAAACTGTCATGCTAATAGTTAGGATGGTTTATATTAAAAAAAACCCTGAAATAATTTTGTGACTGTTACTCTACATTTTCAGTCTGTCTTTCAAGGAAAAAGGATCAAAACAAAAACAGAGGGTTAAGTGTTGTGTTGATTTCACCAAATGGCAAAGGGGAGATGAAGGTGCCTGCTTATGTCCGCTTCACTGTCCCCCTTGTGAGCTTATGAGCTTCACAGAGTTCTTATTGGGGTAACCGTGACTTCAGCAAATGGTATGAACATTTTTCAATGGTACGAAACCTAAAAGAGTGCTGGGGCAATCATTAGCTCATTAGAGGTGCGATACTTAGTCCAAAAGAAGGACTACAACTCCAGCATCCCACAGCCAGCTGGGCACAGGATTACACCCTAAACAGCTGTAAACAGAGGATTCTGCCCTAAACAGAGGTTGAATACCCTTTGGGTTTTCTGCTGGATGTGGCCTCTCTCTATTGGGAAAATCTTAGGGCAACTGAATAGGTCTAACACCTAGTGCAGTTTGTAAATAACCAGTGGTTTAAAACTACAGGGGGAGGACAAAGGCCCCAATCCTAAGGGGAACAGTCAAAAGAGCAGAGCCCAGCTTGTGAGTTCCTATGACTTAATTTTATTAATGTCCTTGCAAAACTCCAGCAGCGAACGTGGGTTCATTTCTTTTATGGCAGAGCAGGGTATGATTCCTATGCCAACAGATCTGGTTTGCTTGCACATCTGTTTTTCTAGTAGCCCCCCTCCCTATTTTGTGAACACCGAAGCCCATAAATAATGGGGTTTGAATTGCTTGTTCATTGCAAAGTCTGACTGTGGCATGAATGTTCTGTGGGAACATTGTGGAATGAATGCCTATATAACTTTTTATTAATTTTTGTTTTGTTTTAATGAATAGAGATTATAGTCTCTAAATGTACCATTAATAGAGAATGTTTTTGTCTTTTTTTTTAACAGAATTTGCCAGACCCTGCAATTGCTTTATATATGCAGTTTTTAGTCATGGATTTTACACCTTTGGAGAAAAGCCAGCCTTCTAGCACTTAATCTTTTTTTTAAAGATACTTAATATGCTTCGAGCTTTATCCCCTTAAAATTTGCTGTTACATAAAGATCCCACTAACAATTCAAATGGCCATGGGGCTATGCTTCAAAGAAGTTGCCTCCATATCATGCTACCAGCCGATCAAGCAGATTGTCCTTTTCCTTCTGTTGGGTCTTTTTGCTGCTTCAAGCAATGGCACCTATTTTGTTTGTGAATGAAAGAAATGCTGAACATTTTCAAGCTGTGTTCCATCCCAAATGATGAGCAAGGAAACTGACATCCAGCCTAGTTCTGAGCCCCCCCACCCCCACGTACCACTGCATGTCTTCAGCCATGCTATAGATATGCATAACTAACTCATCTCATTGCTGTAGGAAACCTAGCCCAGATCTTCCTTGTCATCCATGTGACAGTCTGTGTCCCAGTCCGCAGACTCCACCCCCCCCCAAAAAAAAGAGGAAAAGGAAAAAAGAAAAACAAAAAAGGATTGGGATTTGACAATCATTCTTGGCTTGGGAAACAAATCGACAGGGTCTCCCAATCCAGCTCCCCAAGGTTCACTCACCCAAAGGCCTGAGGCATCATTACCACATCAGTTTTAGGTGATGCAGATTGGATCTGAATGCAACCTTGTTAGAGGAGATTTTAGAGTTAATATCCCAGGGAGAAAACAAGAACGCGAACAACCCTGCCTGCATTGCGGCAAAGGATTATAATGCTAGTGGGGTTGTTCTGGCAGCTTAAGTGGCACCTGGCCTAATGAAGTCATATAAGTTGTTTGCTTTGCAGAATTCCTTATACAGTAGGTGTGGAATGCTTTATGCAACAACTTGGGAATACTTATGTAAATGGAATCAAAGTTCTGGATCTGACATTTGTGTGATAAAAATGAGGTTTCTGCAAGTGGTAGCCAAGGGACACAAATTGGAAACAACTCAGTAAAGCCAAAGCTACCTTGCAGGAGGTTGCATTCATAGCTATCAAAACCAAGGAAAACTGTCTCAATTCAGACTCTCAGATCTGAATTCTGAACTGGCAAATTTGGAGTACTTGCAACTTTTCAATTCAACCTTTAGCGGCTCCCATCTTTGGCAGAAATACAACAAACCACCCTGATAATCCATAGCTTATTTTATGGGTTGTTGTACCTGCAGTGGGGTTGTGGTGTCATCTGAACTTGGGTGACTGATCCCACGATAAGTACCATGAATCCCAACCCCTTGTCAAACTCACCCATGCCATCCACCCCACAAGTGCCCAAGCGGGCTCTTTTCTTAATTTCCTAATTCCCCTCTCAGTTAACCGCAAACAATATTGTGCATGCTGTGTCTCTTTTACACTCCCCCCCCCCGTATCTATTTGGATACGCTGAAAAGTGATCTCTGATTTGACAAGCAGTGAGAACTCTTCAAATGAGAGCTCACATGGTGCTTTCGAGTGCTGTCCGTGGTTTTTCACCCTCCTGTTTTGAAAAAGTGCCTCAAATGTGGACAACTTTTTCAACTGTTTTAATTAGTCAGACTTGCACACTTTTGCACTTCCAAAATGACTCACCTCACAGGGGCAATGTTCAGAGGACTGTCTGATACCGAAGTGCAGCAGGCATCCCTCAGAAGCATTGAGCTAGAGGGGTTGCCAAGATTTTGTTTTTGCCTTTGGCTTGTCTTGACAACTGTCAATATGTGAGTTGTCAAGAGAAACCAAATCTGCAAATCACCTTTGCTCATGGGGTGGGGGGGGGTGTGGCCAGGTAGTTATGCCCTTTGTGATGGGATGCTTAGGTTTGTTTGCTTGTTTGTTTTTAAGGGGGTGCACCTTGTTTCTTTGAGGTCCTTTCAATCTTTCAGTCTTATTGGAGATTCTAGATGCTTGGGGAGGTGTAAAATGTGGATCATTCTATAGGAGCTGTCTATAGGTCCTTAAAAGAGGGGTTCCCCCCCTTTTTAAGGCAAGGATCCTCGTGTGTATTTCAAAGGGTCATGTGCATTCATGCCTGCCAAATGGAGTGCCTGCCATAGGATGCCCTGTGATTCCTCCTCCTCCAGCAGGAGGACAGGGCAGGAATGTGGGGAAAAAGGGACTGAATTGTACCAGATTGTCTGTTAGGCACACCACGGGTTGTTTGTCCAATGACCAACCCATTATGGCTTATTGCCAGGGTGTATTGTCATGTTATGTGGATGTGGATTGATTTTGTATATTGTTTGGTCTGGGGCAGTGGGGAAGCTCTATCCTTTTCTTGCTCCCTGAGATTTTCATAGCAATTAAAGGGCACAGCTCTTTTAAAAGGTGAGAATTCTTTGGGGTTCCTCTGAGGATATTGTTCTATAACATGAGGCCCCTTGATAGTTCCAGAATATACACCCAGACTGAACCTGTGTCCCAGCTACTGGCATGTCTTTGAAATAAATGTTGACTTACCAGCCTTTTCACGCATTTTGGACTTCCAGGTGCCATCCATCTGGAAATCAGTAAGCACTTGAAAGGTTATGGTACCAAGAAGAATACACGTGTGCCATTAATAATGTTCCATTTGTGAGTGATTATTTTTCATTCAGCTAGATAGCTTGCTTTACTTTTCAAAGACGTTTTGTAGTTGCAAGCTAAACACTCAGGGGCTTTCTTACTTTTTTTTTTAATTCCACACATTATATAATGAAGCCATATCCCCTTGCCTACCTTTTTCTAAGCCACCTTATAATATATGGCAAGGCTCCAACAACAGCCAGTACATATATTCACATTTAAAATAAATTAGTACATACGCTGAGGTTAGAAGTGAAAGAACATCCAGGACTAACAAACCTGATTGTTCTGGCAACATAACTGTGTAGTCCCTTCTGGCATTTCTAACTTCTGTTCCTGTTATAGTCATCTCTGATTTTTTATTCTGTGTCCTATTTATGGTTGCATTAAATATACCTGCTATTCTTACAATTGTCAGATCTTACAAATGGTGATACTACAGTAAGCTTTTGCTCTGCAGAAGGAATACACTGCTGGCTGTTTCTCAGATACCAGGAGTTCATTAAACTGTGCACTGTTCTTTCAGTTTATTACTTTCTCAGGAAGGCTGTGACATAGACCTTGGAAAGGGAACACTTTCCAGCTTGGCAGTGTGGGATCCAGAAACATAACTTCATCATAGCAGTTTGAAATCCCAATTATAACCACTCACATTTATAAGAACTCTGTGTTGTACCTAAGCAATTACTAGGGTATATACCACCGTGCTAGCGAAAGCTCCCATAAATTATGGTGTATTTTCTCTAGGCAAGTACTGGAAGTCTGTGAAGCCTTATGTGGTGCCAGTTAGCTGTAAGCTGGCTGAGACTCAGAAACAAGAGAGAGAGGAGACAGAGGCAGTGTCAGCCATGGCCTTACTCTCAGTGGACGTTGAGCAGTCTTTTCCACAAGAACATGGCAGGTACGTCCAAAATCTCAGAACTACAAGCACAGATGTGCTACTAAGTGCAGTTTCCTCTGATTTAAAGTCCAGCTTTTTTCCGATATTTTAACCTTCATGCTTTTTCTTGTCAACATCGGGGCAGCCAGAGGAGGATAAGCGTTCTGCATTGTCTTTGGATTGGTAGGCTACTACAGAACTTCAACAATCAAAACTAGTCTGCAGGCCAGCCCTACCATTCAGCTGAGTGAGGTCATCTTGGGAAGCAGATGCTGGGAGATGGCAGCAAGATGTTGCTGGAGAGATCTGTGTGCTACATAGTCTGCCCAGTGCTCCCTAAGAAAGCCTTTGGGGGTGATGGAGGAGGCTGTCCCATGCTCCATATAGAAGAACGGTTCAGCTGCCAGCCGAGCTGCCAGCCCAGGGCACCATCCAGTTGTTCAACTCTGTCAGCAAAAGGTCTTGGGCCAATCATAAGCCGCAGCATACTGTAACTTTTGCATTCAGAGTGTGGAATTTATTTCCACGGACTTTGCTCTCATACCAAAAGAATACATGTTGTTTATTAAAAGGAGGTTGGGGGCTGAGGTTGAAGGCCATTCATGGAATCCACAAGCCACACTCCCTGGCTTCTCCTTATTGCTTCCAACCACAGCCCTTGCAAAGAGTTCTAAAACATCAGCTAAGGCAATCATCATCCTGCCACCTGCTCCACATACCTGGTAATCCAAGCACTGTCACCTACCTAGCAGTAATAAATGGCAGACATTCTCCAGACTGGGATATTTATTTATTTATTGTTTTTATATGCCACCCAATACTAAAGTCGCTGGATGGCTTACAAAAAACAAACAAAAAGCTCCCAACCATATACAATAACACACAACACACTGTGTCCCATAAATAATGATAAAATCAAAGATAAAACCAATTAGCTGTTAAAATATTGGGAAAATAAAAAGGTCTGCACCTGACACCAAAAAGAATAAAGTGCCAGTGCCAGGTGAACCTCCCTGGGGAGCATGTTCCAGAGTTGGGGTGCCACCGCTGAAAAGGCCTTTCTCTGGGTAGCTACCCTCCTAATGTCTTTCAAAGAGGGCTCCCAGAGAAGGGCCTTTGCCTCAGATCTCAAGGGGCAGGCAGGCACATAGGGAAGAAGGTGGTCCTTCAGGTATCCCGGCCCCAAGACATTTAGAGCCTTATAGGTCATTGCCAGCACTTTAAGTTGGGCTTGGACTTCAGTCGGCAGCCAGGGTAGACGATATAGAACTGGCCTGATATGGGAATATCACATATTATGGAGTTAAAAAGGTAATATTCCTACATTAGAAGCAGTGTGTAGTATAAGACCTCAAGAAAATTCATTTCTAACACTGGTTTAGCCGTCTCACAAATTGTCCTTTAATCCCAGTCTAGCTGGGCTTCCTGCTAGGGTGTCATTTTATCTGGCACTCTCCTGTGTGTTCTTGGGCACTTACTCATACAATCCTGCTATGCATGTTCCGACCCCTAACCACGTTTCCCCTCCTCCTTTGTGCAGTCTCCCCCGAAATTTCCCATAGATTATATATCTAGCTCCCATGGACACTAGATAGAAATGGGGAAAACGCCTTTGCTTCAAAATGGTGTTAATTTCATCTCCTGGGGAGTGGAGATTGACAAGGTCCATGCTGTACTTACGTATGCTGAAGACAAAAATTAAAGGAACGGGTCAGTGAAACGGCAGGGACTTTGCAGCAGTGAGCAAGTGGTGTGAAAGTACAGGATCCCACAAGTCTGCTGAAGCTAAGCAGGTTTGGATCTTGCCACCGGCTGCCTGAAAGACCACCCAGTGTTTCCCTGAGCAGAAGAACAGTGGGATATAACAGAAGGCATGATTCGGGTGGCATTTTCCGCTTCTTTTGTTCAATGCGGCAAGTGATTTGGTACTTCTTTGGCAACTGCTCCACACATGCTTTTAACTGTAAATGAGGAAACAGAATATTAGAGGTGGTTGTGAGTGGATTGACAGGGAAGCAACTGGAGCCAGTAGATCAGAATCAGTGGTGGCACAGTGTGTGATCCTCCACTGCGTGCGATGCACTGATGTGCTCTTGCCACTTTCACACTTGAATTACAACATTTGAATAGGAAAGAAAATATGAAATGAAGCAAAGATCTGATTAAACAGAAAGTGGTTGTTGTAATACTGACTCCCCCAAAGGATATTGTGCAGCACAACCAGGGTGTTTTAAATTTAAGCTTCCATCACCTGGACATAAGAAGGATAAGCAAGATGTATGTAAATGCGCTCTTGTGTGAAGAAAAGTGTATTGATTCCTATGGATTGGAATGGCCAAAACTGGGAGTTGTCCTGCAGTGAATGAGGCCAATCACACTTGGTTTCCTCCAGATGAAGTCTGATCAATGAATAAAGAAGGGAGTGTTCATTTCTCCTGCTTGTCAGCTGTTGTTTCACGCTGACCTAACATGATTGACTTGGACATGAATTTAACAGTTCTATAAAATGAAAGAACAACTGCCAATGCACTTCACCAAACAAGTATTTCAACATGATGTGTGAATAGTTCCATGCACAGAACAACTGTGTGTGTGTGTGTGTGTGTGTGTGTGTGTGTGAGAGAGAGAGAGAGAGAGAGAGAGAGAGAGAGAGAGAGAGAGAGAGAGAGAGAGAGAGAGAGAGAGAGGAGTTGATCAAGTCAGAAAAGTGACTCTGTAAAAAGAATATTATAGAGTTCTTACATTTAGTCATGCCAAATACTTTGGCACTTTTGCACTGCAAAGGAGAGTCCAAATGTAGTAGAACTGGACTGATTCCACAGAGTTAAAGGAAGGAGAAGGAGGGATAGAAAAAACTAAATCTCTTTCAGATGAACTCCTTTGGATGCTGCAAAGCTGGACACAAAACCAAAGAAGGGTGTTTGTGGCTGTACTGAGGAAACATTTTATGCAGCTCATCTAAGGCACCCTGATCCTAATTATTTGTGCAGATAGATGTGCCTGGAGTGGGAATATGCACAAACGGTTAGTCAAGTTCCTAGAGGTCTGTTGGCCTCACTTTGAGAAGGTTTGGCATTAAATCCTTGGTATCTAAAGGTGTGCAGTTACACTTTAGAGCAGGGGTGTTGAACCTCTTTTGGCCCAAGGATAGAATTCCACTTTGGACAAACTCTCTGAGGCTGCATTCCCACAGCAAAATGGGTCAGGGGCAAAAAGGACTTGGCATATTTTAACATAAAGCTCTTGCTACCCAGAATTAATCCCGGGGAGCTTGGTTGGAACTCTAAGCCATTTTGGTTTGGCCCCACTCCTGCTTCACAAACAACACTGACATGTTACACTCTGAAAAAGCATGATTGTGTTGTGAAGCACAGGTATTATATGCATCTTGTGCAGAAACACCAAGGAGCACTTGTCGTGCTGATGTTCCCCAGTACGTGGATGCTTAAAAATATGGACATATTGTTCTCATTTTTGCATGCTTGAAATAGGAAACAGCAGTCTATGAGCAGCAACTATTGCTTAAAGAATCAAGTTGCCTTTAGAAATGCCATTTACGTTATGTAAATAGTTTTATCATTGGGTATAAGGGTGTGGAGAGATGCTGGTTGGCCTGATGACAGTTAAACCAGTACTGATTACCACCCAATAGGAAATCTGGGATCTAGTTCAGGCTCACTGGGTGACTTTGGACCAGTCCCTGACTTTCAATCTAACCTACCTTACAGGGTCGTTGTTGTGAGAATAAAATGGAGAGGGGAACCTTGTAAGCTATATCGAGTCTTTTGTAAGGGGAAGAAAGGCAGAATATAAATGTGATGTAATAACGTATCTTATGTGGAATTTTCAGGCCATTTCAGATGAGCTTAGTTGGACCTGTTGCTAATACTTCTGCTCACAGGAGTTGAAAATCCATATAGTTCTTCTGTGTTCAGTGGGCAATATAAATACACCCCACAGATGGGAACACCTCTTCCATGCAAAATGTACTAGTTATCTCAAAGCCTGGTTACTCTTTTTATTCATTGCAGAGCATTTATGCAAACACTAAAAGCTAAGAAATTGCAATGAATTTTAAGCAGTGTGTTTAGAAACTTCTGCAAAAGCTACACATGTAAACTTATACATGGCTTTAAAGGTAAAACTCTTATCTTCTGCATTTCTGTGTATGTATAGTATAATCTGGTATAGGCTGCACAGGCTCATACTTGAGGATTCCAACTTTCACTAAAAACCAACTATTCAAGTTACTAGCCCTCATGAATGCACAGAGAGATATAGACAAAGGACTCAAACTGTCCACAGAGGTCTTCAGAGGGCAGAGCTTCAGTGACTTATATGATTGCCTGCCCTTTTTAACAGCCATTAGTCACATTCCTTCAGCACATGTCTCTGCTGCCTGCTCTTTCATATTTTTCTTCCTGACATGACTTTGGTCCTTGAAAAATAAACAAGAGGTTTGTTCAACAATTATGCAAAGCAGAGTTCAGAATAAAACATGATCAGTTTTTCTACAGGTTTGGTATGTTCTCCATAAGTGTTAGCTTGTATTGATTCACTCCAGGGACTTTTTTCTTAAAGCAGAATTTACTTATTTATTTGGTAAGTACAGAGCCTGAAGAGAAAGAGAAGCCAAATACATAGGAATTGTGGAGTTCTATTTATCACCCCAAGATGTAAACATGAAACATCTTTTATTAATGTGGAGAGATTTGGAAGGAAATGCAAGACATACTTTAGCTCTGAGTGAATGTCATTTTTATGGTGAAATAAAGGCGATTTTCGGACAAATGAAATGAAGTGCAATTAGCTTGGCATATCAAATTACAGAGTTTAAACTAATTAGCAGCTAATTGTCATATTTTGAGAATGTGCTAATTTGAAACCACTGCCATTCATCAGTAATTGATTTGTGAAGAGCTTAAATAAAGCCACTGCATATCCCCCCACCTGCCCCACTGATTAATGATGCATTTGCTTGTGTAAATAGACCAGGCCAGCCATCATAACATCAGATGTGG